AAAAAATTTTAATCCAAAAAATAAAGGTTGCAAAATAAAAAAGCTGCCCCTAACTTAGAAAAATTGAAATGAATTAAATAAGTAAATTAGGTTAAGTATCACAACATGAACATTAAACAAAGACTATTAAGGAATACATATTTTCAAATAAGGTTGCCACCCATATAAACTGGAATATAATGTATCTTCTTATATATAAACATGAAAAACTGTGTGTTTTCCCGCTTATAACTTTTGACCCTCATCACGAAAATTAGCGTTGCATTGGTTCTTCCCCGGGACTGGTAATCAGCATGGTTTTTTTCGCAATGGATGATGCTGCCGCCTAATTTTTTAAATTAACTACAAAATTAATTGACAGAATATGCATATCTAATGAAAGGTGTATAAGAAAATTTTAATGCAAAATAATTTTTAGTGAAGTTGCCACTTATCTTTTTATGAAAAAGTAGAAATTAATTAAATCTAATCTTATGAATAAAAAGACCGTGTGAAAAAAATTACAAAAATCTACAGTAATGCTGGATTTCCACTAGGCATTAAATGGTAAAGTAGACAAATGACAAAGTCGGGCATTAAAAAATAATCATGTTATTACATCAAAAACACAGTCATTAAGTTCATTTCCACATGGCATTTTTTTTTTAAATGGCATACATTTTTTGTCTTTTCAATGCCTAGTGGAAATTCGGCATAAGTCCCCAGCATTTTCAAAATTGCACTTTGCGACACTAAAATTCAATGAGCTACAAAAGTGCATACTAAATTTTTTTTTTAAAAAGGGTGATTGAGGAGTGAAATATAGAGTTACCGAACACACAAGAAAAAAATTAAAAACCTCCATATTGCAAAACCAATTCTTTTGCTAAGTAGTTCTTCCTAACACTTCCATTGTGTTATATACATATAACCTAAACCTAAATAAACAACAACACTCATGCAGACTTTTCCTCACATTAATACATACTAATGACCAAATACCCGAGGTCGTATCAAATGTTAAATTGTAACAATGTATAATCGTATGGTCACAAACCATGCACTGAGAGATAACTTAAAGAAAGGCATATGCACACATCTTTAACAACATACCGACATGATAGATAGATAGATAAATAGATAACTACCCTACAGTGAAAACCGAACTAGTGAACCGAATTTCAAGTTCCATACTAGATCTTTATCGCCAAAAACGGACCAGTCTGATAGCAGTTTTCGGCAGTCAGCTGGGGAATTGATGAAACTAAAACTGTTTGAATATCTGGATTACATATAGAAAAGTAATCTTTCAGTTTTTAAAGGTTGGCGATTAAAATGCAAATATTTATAGCATCAAAAGGCCTTTCTGTGGGTTTTCGGGTACGAGGAATGTAAATCTACAATCCTTTTTTACCAAAAACGGCGACTGGGTGCGATTTAGTTAAAAAAAAAAAAACATGAATAAACATTATTGAGAAACTTTGTTGACACTCTTCCTTCATGTTCATCCATGTTTTTGCATCGTAGCGCACCTTAGCGGCCATATTTGGGAAAAAAAAATAAATTGCAAATTCAGATTTCGCCGACCAAAAAAAAAAAAACCTAGAAAGACATTTTGGTGGTATACATATTTGCATTTAAATCATTTTGAATTGTTTTAAATGGTGCTCTGCGACCACTAACTTTTAATTGAAAAGTTCAGAAGCAGCGAAATGTGGTACTTTCACAAAACTGCTATTTTCTTTTACGTTATTGTGTTTATAATAATTTTATAATTTATTAACCGACTTAAAAAAAAAGTGGAGGTTATCAATTCGTCAAAATATTTTTTTTATGTATGTTACCGCATAACTTTGGACCACGTTAACCGATTTGTATAATTATTTCTTTTAAATGAAAGGTGGTACCTTAAATGTGCTCCCATACTCATTTGGTTTAGATCCGATAATTGGATCATAAAGAAATTAACGGTACACTAAAGCTTTGATACGATAATTGAAGTCGTTTTTTTTTTGCTTAAAAATTAAGTCACAGGAAATGTGATAAGTCCCAAAGAATACAAAAAATTCTCGGCAAAAATATATACCTAAGGTTTCGAATTTAGAAAATTATCCATAATTAGATGCAGCGTTAACGCCAAGCCATGATTTGTTTACTTGTTTATTTTAAATAGATATATATTTGGCGTTTTTTTTTCGTTCGAATATGCGTTCGTTCTGCACTTCACAGATGCTTTTTCATAGTGTGGTAATACAACATTAAAATTTGTAATTAATATTTTAACATCTTTGAACCTTCTGGAAGCTAACCAATACAAGCAAGCACCTCGTTATTTCAAATGTTCAGTTTGAATTACATTTCTTACAATCATTCAAACAAATTTGATTGCGAATTGAAAATACATTTCCAAAACAAACCAAAAAAAAAAAAGAAAAAATGTTTCTGCTGATTTTAGTACTGGTTGAGAACTACATATATAAAAAGGAATACAGAGCGTACTACTTAGATCCCACTTGTCGAATTTAAGACTGGTTCAGAACTATCGAAAAACGAGTTCGGCACTAGTGTGTTTTCCCATTGGGTAGTCGTAAATTCAGACGTATACACCAACATATATACATACATACAAAGATGGAAAGCAGTTGTATAGAAGAGCGTATTGCTTTATCGCCATTACAAAATTGACGTACCGTAGGAATGTGTAAATGTACATATATTCCATCAAGNGATGGAAAGCAGTTGTATAGAAGAGCGTATTGCTTTATCGCCATTACAAATTGACGTACCGGAGGAATGTGTAAATGTATATTCCATCAACCTTTTAAAATAAACACTAATCCTTATAAGTAATTGTCGATATCAGAGTTATATCAAATATATACTTATGTGCAAACTTACATTCGCTTATCTAAAAAATACTTGTAGATCTAAGTAGATAAATAAAATAAAACACCAGTCTCTCTGTACAACTAACTTAGTTGTGAATAAACTATTGTCGCTAATGTTTCAATACAAAAATGCAAAAATGGGACTCTTTCAAATTTGTAAAATTGGCTTTGATGATTTTAATTTTTGCCATTGATTGCATAGAGACCGCGAAAATACTTGCAGTATTTCCCTTTACGGGCCCTTCGCAGTATTTATGTGTACAACCGTACTTGAAGACATTGGCGGCGCGAGGACATGAAGTCACTTCGATTTCGGCATTTCCACAAAAAACACCAATTACAAATTTCCGTGACATAGTTTTGAATGGCGTACATGACGATCATGATGGTTCGTGATTTCTTAAATAGTGACTTTCAACTCGTTAATAAAATACCTATTACACACTCTACGATTCTAGAATTAGTTATGGATGTAATTGACGAAATGGCTGGTGGTAAATTGAAGGAACTGCATGCCGTATGGGATTACATAATGTTGGGCTCTTTGCTGGTTTTGGAAAACGAAGAATTTCAGCAGCTACTACGCTCCAAAGAACATTTCGATCTCATTATTATCGAGGTGTTCCTACAGGAATCACTCTACGCATTGGGCGATCACTTTAACGCACCACTGATTGGTGTCTCTACGTTTGGCTCAGATATATCTATCGACCAATTGGTGGATAATAGTTCACCATTAGCGTATGTGCCATCACCCACTGCCAGAAAATTGGATCATAGGAATTTCTATCACCGATTGGCTAATTTATACGTACACACAATGGAGCTGGCATATACTCATATGAAAATAATTCCAGATCAGCAGCGTTTGTACGAGAAATACTTTCCGAATGCCACCGCGGATTTAAGTGAAGTACGTCGAGATTTCTCACTGCTGCTGTTGAATCAACATTACTCATTTAACTATGCACGTCCGTTGGTGCCGAACGCTATCGAAGTGGCTGGCATGCATATTGATCACAAACCAACACAACTACCAACTGACATGGAAACTTTCATCAATGCTTCTCCGAATGGCGCTATATACTTTTCGCTCGGTTCGAATGTGAAGAGCGTGTTTCTACGAAAGGAAAAATTAGACGCCATTATGAATGCTTTTGCCAAACTACCAGTGAATGTTTTGTGGAAATTTGAGAAGGATGACTTAGCTGGCAAGCCAAATAATGTCTACATCAGCAAATGGTTTCCACAACAGGATATACTCGCCCATACCAATGTGAAACTCTTCATAACACATGGCGGCATGCACAGCCTACTCGAGGCGGTCTATCATGGCAAACCGGTCGTAGGTATGTCCGTCTTCTTCGATCAACATATGAATGTGGCACGCGCTGTGGCAAAGGGTTTCGGTGTGAGTTTGAACTTCAGAGATTTCACTAGCGACGAGTTAAGCAATGCCATTCTTGAAGTGCTCAACAATCGGAAATATGCTGTGAAGGCGAAAGAAATCTCCACCAGTTTTCACGATCGTCCTATGAAACCGCTCGACACGGCGATCTATTGGACCGAGTATGTGCTGAGGCATAAGGGAGCGCCACAAATGCGTGTGGCAGCGCGTTACTTGAACTTCTGGCAGCGACACAGTGCAGACACGATGGCTGTGTTGTTCGGTATACCACTGCTGTTCGTGATTTTAATACTTTACGTAGTATATAAGGTGTTCAAGGCAATATTGGGTAGCAAAATTGTCGCGCAAGATGAGAAGTCCAAGAAGGACTAAATAATTTGGATGATTAAAAAAGGACTATTGAGATTATAGCAATTTTTCTGCTGTAACCAAGATACAAAGTTTGGAATGTGGATTGATATTCATTTTTAGCATACTAGTATCCTACACAAGATCTGCATAAATTGAACTAATGCAGCTACGAAGTTGAAAATTCGCGGAGTATATAGGCATGGCATATGTATGTAAGAATAAGACCGTTAACGTAAACTTCCACGTTTGTACATTTATGCAAGTTCATGCCCAAATACAACATTTTGACTACGAAACATATAGGTTATGTTGAATACAATGGACATAATCACAATACCCAAGAATAACGACAAGGACACTATAAATATAAAATCAGAAAAATAAATGTTTAAACCACTTACAATGGGATTCAATTTTCATTATATATAATCGTTGTAATTTCTTTTACACGCTCTTGCTGTTAAGGTAATTGTAACACTATTTTACTAACGATTTAATTACACGCGTTTAAACATCCTACTTTGAAGGCTTGACAAACCGGTAGTGTTGCCACCTAGTTTTTTTTTCATTGTATTCCCTTGATTGCCATTAAGAAAATATGCATGCTGTTTGCAACTTATTATTTTTCTTATTATACTCAGTAATGAACTCGGGACTTTTTTTGCTTCATTTAAATTATCACAAGTGTTGCCAGAATTTTTTGAAATAAAAATGTATCTAGTGTTAAGACAAAAAGCTAAATATGTAGACAAAAAATCGAAGGTAATGACTTATAATTTGTTAGTTATGAATATTTTTGGGCTATTTTTCTGAGGATTTCAGCACATCTGTCGACATATTTTACAACTATAGTGGTACAAATAAAGCGTGAATGGTGCATTTCCATATTGTAGTGTTTTTTTTTTTTATCTCCTGTTTCGCTCTTACATAATTGTGAAATTGAGACTGAATTTTTCTTTTTCAATTTAAGTAAAAAAAAAATGACGTTTTCGTAAATGGTCGTATTACTACGGTAGCTAACAGTTTTACAAGATTCCAAGGCCTAAACACCTTAAAGAACATATGCCTATAATAAAAAACTTATTATCTAAATAAAATGTAGGTCGTAATTCTTAAAGGGCTAAATAATAAAATTCTGATATTAGAATAAAAATGTATGTAAAAAATGTATCCTTAAAATTGTCATTATTTCGATTTAAAAATAATTTTTTTCTAAAAAAAAAATATTAATCACATAAATTTTTTTTCTAGAAAATATTTTTCCAAAAACACTGTTTCTGCATTTTTTTCTTAAAGAGTTTTTTTCTCAAAAATTGCTTTTCAACAAAGAAATAAATGTTTGCACAAAAATTATAATTTTTTTTTTTTTCTAAAATAAAATTCGCTTATACGTAAATGGTAATTTTTTTCAAATATTTGCAGATGATTGTAGATAAAATTTTCTTCAACAATTATTTTTTCTACATAATTTTTTCGTAAGAACTCCTTAAAAAATTAGTTCTCCCCATATGATTCTTCCTAAAAAAATGATTTTTTTACTCTAATATTTTCTTTTTTTTTTAAGAATCCATTTCTATATCAAAAATTGTGTTTTTCTCCATAAAGTCTTTTTGTTCAATGTTAAGCATTTTGTCTTCTAATTTTTGTAAACATATGCTCTCCTAAAAAACTATAGTTTCCTAAATTATGTTTCGTTTTTTGGTAAAAACAATTTTTTCTTAACAGAAAATTTGTCTAAAAATTTCAATTTATATATTTTGATAAATTTTTATATTTTTGACAAAAATACGAGTAATTAAATGAATATGAGTCATATGCTAAAACAGAAACTTTTTCAGAAAACTGTTTCCTTTAGCCCTGCAAGGGTCAATGTGGCCAGTCCATGACTTTTACCCCGAGATCATTTTGGTAATGGTTTTTAAGTGTGGTACCGAATTTGTCGGCCAATGAAAAATTTTCTTTATACTTTATCGCTTATTATTTAACAGTACACATGAGCTTCAGTGATGATAAGATCAGTTGTAAAGAATGCATTTATCGCTGTAATCATTTTCTTATCAATCGAAAGACACATAATTAAATTATGGTTAAGAAATACTTCGACTGCTTGGTCGGCAAAAACTTACTCATATCGAAAGTGAAATGACAGGGTTTCAAAAGCTCTAAACTACGAGCGTCGTATTTCCAAACGGTAGGGTAGCTCATAAATATTTGCTAGAGTCGCCGGATCAAGGTTAATATCTTATAGGGGAGATTGAATGCTATCGAAAACAGTTATGGCATACGCAACAATACTTAAGGGTAGTATCAAGGGGAGGTAGGAGGTTTAGTGAAAAAAGGGATGACGGAAATTCGTTCCAAAATACACCACAAATTTCGCTTTTAGAGTAGATGGTGTTCTTGGTTTTGAAATCGGTTATCGGTTCGGTAGAATCGCCAAACGAACGGAGATAAAATTTGTGTTAGCGTATTAATATATATGTAGATAACACTATAAGATTGAACCCTTGCTCACTTCTTCTTCTTCTTATTTTGCGCTGTAACCGCCTAAGCGATTTTGACCGTGTTCAACAAAGCACGCCAGTCGTTTCTTTTCTGTGCCAACTGGCGCCAATTGGAAACGCCAAGTGAAGCCAAGTCCTTCTCCACCTGATCTTTCCATCGCAGTGGGGGCCTCCCTCTTCCTCTGCTACCACCAGCGGGTTCCGAGTTGAATACTTTCAGAGCTGCCCTTGCTCTCTAAGGGCCATATAATTAAGAAAATACTTTTTCTTTTGCTTGAACAAAATACCGTCAAAGGTCACATCTCAAATCCCACAATAAAAGTCAACAGCAAAAAACTTTGCAGCCCATTCCTTTCAGATATTAATATGCTGCATATTCCCCTGGAATTTTTCTGCGCTTTATTAGTTTTTCTTTTACTATCCAACTGTTATCACCATCTCCGCCTCTCTCTCTCTCTCTCAATTAATTGACCACACACTGTAGCAGTTGTTGCGCAAGTACCAGCGAAGTAAGCCTTCCTGCTATTCTACACGAATACCCAGAAGTGCCCAACTAATTTACAACCTAAACTTGCTTGTTACTATATTCAATATGCTGTTGCGTAAAATTTCAAGCGTGATTAATTTTCATCCCCAACTATCTGAAAAAATTAATAGTGCAAGAGGTATTCGAAGAAACATACATATATATGTACATATTTGGGACGATTTGCTAAACTTTTGCCCAACATATGTGGGGCGGTTTTGTTTGCTTTTATTGTTTACTTTCATACTGTGAATTCCCACCCTCATAGCTAGCGTTTTGGGATATAAAATAGCAAAGTTGCGTTAAGCTATTAATTAGTCGGAGCAAGTTGGAGGCCACACCACCTTCGGCTGGTTATTTAACGATCCCAATGCTTTATTTGCACACATGAAAACAAAAAAAAAACGGAATCATTAAAATGAACTTGCTTGCCAGCTTGCCGAATTTGCTGCCTGTGCGTAATCCCTATGGCGATTAGCCAGCATAAATACATGTTTAGATAGCTCCAAAGTGTCCATTACGTGCGTCATTGAATCTGTGTTGCATCATTTTCATGTTCATTATAGCAGTATGCGTCTTTTATATGGACAATACTTTTTGGTCATTGATGGAATTTTATTGGCAAGTAGTTAGTCATAAAATTGGTAGCAGTTTGCTTTCAATTAATTGCATCTCCTTGTGGAATAAATAAATGTCAGAATAATATAAGAAATTATTAAAGGAATGTAAAGAAATTGTATTCTTCAATCGTCTTGTTAAAATAGANTGCTTTCAATTAATTGCATCTCCTTGTGGAATAAATAAATGTCAGAATAAGATAAGAAATTATTAAAGGAATGTAAAGAAATTGTATTCTTCAATCGTCTTGTTAAAATAGAGGAAGTTCTGGAAGTTCTGGAAGCTGGTGAAAGTAAGATGCTATAAATCCTGGAAAGAAGGAACTCGTACTAGTTATACACCAGAGGATATAGGGGGTGTTTAACATGTTCTCTCAGACAGGGTGAAGTTCTTGGGCGTGATCCTGGATGGGAAGTTATAGTGGAAGCCAAATATTGAGTTGCCAATAGCTACGGACCACTCGCAACTGTTAACATTGCGAGCAATGTTGCCACAATTCGCTCAGACATTAGGCTTAAAAGGTCTACATTCTCTTTCTAAAAGTGTTTTCAAAAGATTCGACTCTTTACCATGGGAAATGAATCAGAGTGTTTCGAGGCAGGTCCCGAATGTATCCTTCTCCACACACTTCCTTCCACGGGACAAAAGGGAGAATGGAGCAGCTTCTGGAGTAGGGCTGGAAACTGTCTGGCACTGTTTTCTGTCAGAAACTCTTAATAAATTCCCTCTTCAGACTGCGAGATTTCTGCAGCGCCTATAAAAGAGGCAGTTGATTGTCTACGCTCCAGTGTTTTGCCGATTAGAGGGGCAATTATCTACTCTGATAGCTAGCGGAATCAAGTTGATTTGCATTCAAGGTCTCTTTAAATTGCAGGGCCGATGAATTGGTCACACAAGGTACCCTCGAGGCCATCGCATCCTACAAGGAAGTCATACCAACTTGCGGCCTACTCCTAGACAGATGGGCTTGCAGTTGGCTCCACAAGCGCTGGGCAAAAACCCCGACATGCAAAGTTGCATGGCCCTTCTGGCCAGTTGTTGACCACAGGCGGTCAAGGGAGATTTTGCAGCTGGATAAGCTACAGGACGGGCATGACGAGAGATTTTTAAAAGTATACCGACTGGACATTGTCCTTTAGGAACCCATGCGGTGAGACTTATTAACATCTCGGATCCCTACTGCCGCAGCACAATAATCTGAGCACTTTCCTTCTCAGTTGCCCCAAACTCACTGGACTAAATTTTAAATACCTCGACGTGCATTTCATCAATACTCCCGAGGAAACCTACGGAGTGAACATCAGCGGCCCAATGACAAGATTTCACAAAATATATTGAGCTAGTCGTTGCCCCCGAAAACGCCTCGATGGCAG